TAAGTGCACTGCTCTCAGGGGACTGTTGGAAAAATAAAYACCTGCAGAGAAAACAGTGTTTCCTGCAGTTCTGCCTGAGTATAGTGAATTCAGAGGCACTTGGCAGCAGCTGTGTAATTACTCCACAACAGGGTCTGTCAGTTTAWAACATGCTGGGACTAATATTCTCCCTGAGTTCACCTGAGATTACCTGAGCTCTGATTGTTCTGTCAGCTGGTAAAATCCTTAAATTTATTTGATGGGTACAAAGCTGTGTCTGTGACTGATTGCTGTTGAAATTACTTTTAATTAGGGCTTATATCAAATAAACCAAAAAACCAACGAACCTCATGAGCATCAGGACAAGAATATTTTAGACGCTTTGAAAGAAGGTTCTATGGAAATTTCTTAAAGGGATCCCTGATTAGTTGTAACATTAGATTTTATTTAATAAACATATATTTTAATTGTAAAATAAAGACTGCAAAAAATACTGTGGGATATTCAGTTTTTATCATTTTTAAACTAAAAGTTAAAAAATATATTACACGGACGGGGCTATTTTATTTACACACAAAGCATTCTGGGTAAATGATGACGTGGATAGGTCCTCTGTGCAGTGGTGGACAAAGTACTCAACTCTAGTACTTGAGTAAAAGTATTGATACTCATGGTCAAATCTACTCCACTACAAGTAAAAGTTACTCAGTCAAAAATCTACTCAAGTAAAAGTACTGAAGTACTTACTTTTGAAAATACTTAAGTATTCAGAAGTACATGCATTTTAAAGTACTTAAGTACAAAGTAAAAGTACAAATTACATTTTTTTCTTTTCTTTTTCTTGTCACTTCAGTAGAAAACTAAACTAAATATTAGTTTATTTAGTTTATTTTTTCATCATCAGTGACTTTTTTTAAGTGAAGAGAAAATAGAGACAGAGAGAAAAATAGAGAGAGAAGTAATTAGAAAGATAGAAATAGTGATTAGAAGTATATTAAATATACACCAACAAAACACAGGACCACACACCCAACATCTGTCYGCTCACCTGAAAAATAAATGGATAAATACATGGAGGGCATATATAAAAATACACACATACCCATACATATATAAAGATATACATACATACATGCCTACATTCATAAATATTGTCAGTGTATACACACAGACACGTATACACACTCAGTGACAATCAGAACAATAAGCTACGCATGTGATTGGTTACCTTTTGACGAACATAGCTGTGGCCAATTGCATTTCATGAAAAGCAAAACCGGAACAACGGATTTTTTTCTTTCTTTTTTTTCAGCATATTATAAAGCTATGCTGATCTAAAAGTAACGAGTAACGACAAGCTTCCTAGAAATGTAGTGGAGTAAAAAGTACAATATTTGTCTTTGAAATGTAGTGGAGTAAAAGTAAAAAGTTCCCAAATAAATAACTACTCAAGTAAAGTAAAGATACTCAAAAAATGTACTTAATTACAGTAATAAAGTAAAAGTACTTTGTTACTGTTCACCACTGCYTCWGTGTGAGCGAGCTATATCCACCCTGAAGGTTAATCTTGGACAATATCTGATGATCGACTCTTTTAAATGAAACCAGAGAGCTGAGGTTCTTCTTCCATGAAGCAGCTCTGTTGTCCTCCATCYATATTTTCAGTTACAGGCTGAGTCATTTCTACCTCCTCCTCTCTGTCAACGCTCTCTGGTTTCATTTAAAAGAGTCGATCATCAGATATTGTCCAAGATTAACCTTCAGGGTGGATATAGCTCACTCACACCGATGACCTATCCACGTCATCATTTACCAAGAATGCTTTGTGTGTAAATAAAATGGCCCCGTCCCTGTTAAAATATCTTTTTAAAAATTTGCAAAACTAAACAGCCTACAGTATTTTTACAGTCTTTATTTTACAGTTAAAATATGTTTATCAAATAAAGTCTAATGTTACAACTAATCAGGGATCCCTTTAACAATTATGGTCTTATTTGCTGTAAATAGATCTTGAAATGGCCTCATTTTGCAGAAAAGAGTTTCATTCTGAACTGATGAGCAAATGTAAAAAAAGAAAAGAGACTGACCTCACTGAAGCAATCATGCTTAACACATTTCATTTCAACAGTTTAAAATAAAGACAGTATATGTCTTAAACTAATAAAGAAACTGGACATACTATCCCTTTCCCCCCTGGTAATCCAGCCTTACAATTCGCAGTAGCAGAGAGGTTAACCTGACTTTTGCAGGCCACCATAAATGATACACTGATGACTGTTTTTCTTTGGTCACACCAATATAAAAAAGGTAGTCTTGGAAAATGAAAATAGGTTTTCAGAGTTTTAGAGGTGGTTTTCTTCACCAGTCTCAATATACTGACTGTAAAACTGTTACAACCTGAGAAGTGTTTGGGCTGGCAGCTCGACAGAGGAGGGGGCAGTAAAAACGCTGCCATGTGCCCACATTTCATCTGTGGTTCTATCTGTTCGTAATCCAGCAACTGGACCAACGAGACACACACAGGAATGATATAAATTCACTTTTTGATCTGAGTAATTTGCAGCAGATGCCAAAGAAGTTGTAAGAAAAGCTTAATAGTGCACCCTTATTGCTTTTCCATTCGTTTTAGGCCCACGTCCAGAAGTGTTGCCCCCATCTGTACGGCATGGCTTGCTTCTGCCTGGTTGAAGGAATGTATTTCATTGGTTGCTTCATAAAACCAGGTTTTCAAGGTACAGATGGGCTCGGGAGTAGAATCGGACATATTTACGAGGGCAGTTTAAAGGAAACCTCAGCACACCTCAGCTGGGAGAAAAGTTAGTGTGTGGAAGATTTTTCTCAGCTTGAGTTTAACCAGAACTGGACCCCCTGTTAGCAGAGGCTAAAATAACAATGTTGGACATTAAGGGTCAAACCTGCCTCTTTTTATTTGGTTAGTTCCTCTCAGTGAGTTGTTTTATGATATATGAAGGTGGCGAGCTGCGAGTAGGTAAAATAAATCTCTCCGGAAGGAAAGGGTCTTAATTTCCAACTCCCTTCTGCTTGAGCGAGTGTAACTTTTCTTTTGCCTGAAAGCTTGGAGGTGCGCCAGAATCACTAAAAGTGAAGAAATTAGAAGAATTTAATCCTCGGTGCAAACAGGACAAAGAGAGGGAACGGTTAAAAACTACTATAAAACAAAATGCCAGGTCTTGAAGTGAACAATAATTCCATTTACTCCACACAAATCTTTATTTTGTACTCGTGAGACTCATTCTTAGGTTGGGAGCGAAAAGAAACGCATTTGTTTTCAGTTTGTATCGCTTTACACAGAAGCTGCATCTTGTGGAGTTTCGCTGGCCAGAWATAATTTACAGTGATATTTTAATGGGGGAGTAATGAAAGGGTCTCTGTTTTTTTCCAGGTTCACACGCCCCAGACCCAAGACTTGAGGACGCCCTGCAGCAAAGGAGCTGAAAAATGATTTTGCAAACCAAGTTCAGTCTTTTTTTTCTCTGCATTTGAAACATACCATTACAAACACAGGAAAGTATCAACACTTTAATTTGTTTCAGTTTGTGTAATGATTCTAAAACCACAATAAGATAAACTTGTTTTAAAGCTGTAGCTTCTATAAAAAAAACACCCAAAAAGTCTTAAAAAATTAAAATTTACAAGCAGTATTCAAGAAAACACTTAATGCAGTGATCTGAAAACAATCTCAATTATAAGGTTTTTGCAAAGACTTTAAGAAAATTTAAAAGTTTCAACTAAAACTTCAAACATTACTGTAGTAAGTTGATGACATTTAAAAATGACATCTTCATCTTGGTCAGGTCTATGACGGTTGCAGTACACCTTTTTAACAAAACTTTTTTGTTTGAGAGATTACTGTTTTTGCTTCAYGTTGGGTTTTAATCACAGTTTTTGACTTCTTGTGTTGTATTTTTCTTATGTCTGTATGTGACAGGTCTGAACARGCCAGATTAGCCCATTTTGTGTGATGATAACAAAGCAGATCATGTTGGATGATGTTGTATTCTTGATTTCCATGAAATAAATGTTTTGATCAGACAGGTTAAAGCAGTGATTCCCAAACTGTTCTGCTCTTGGCCCACAAAACACCAGCAACAGAGACCTGTCTTCCTGCTGTTGTTGGTTGATAAACATTGTTTTCACRTCAAATAAACAAGAGCATAGTAACAAAATGTATTACTCTCTTTTTTATCAATTTTAAGTACACTAACTTTACTCTTTTGTAACAACAAAGGCAAAAAATTATTGTTAATTGTAATTAATTCAGAAAATCTTTCCAGGACCCCACCTTGATGTTTCGGGACCCCAGTGTGGATCCCGACCCCAACTTTGGGAACCCACTGGGTTGAAGGACTGTTTTCCACTATATATTCCTAGCAAGCCATAATAAAAAAGCCATGATATCCTGCATCCTGCATTTTTTTCCCCTAAACTAACAGTTTTCTTTTATTTGTGTTTAATGCTGGCATCAACACTGTCATCACATCTCCCCGTCACTGAGTGCTGAAAGATGCAGAAGTGTTAAGGAATTAAGGATTGGAAAATAGTGTGAAAAGAATACAAAATATAAAGCATCTCTGAAGAGCAACACTCCCCTCTGCTGTCTAGATTTTGCCCAAMAGCTTCTCTTTGATAACCCAGGTAGTTGGACGCCTACAGGATTATCTGGAAATATTCACTGCATTGCAATACTCCATCACTACCGCTAGATGGCGCAAACATCCCAACTGAGTTTGGCCCAGAATCCGTTACTATGGTGATGACGCTCATCGCCGCACAAAGGTAGCACGTTCAAGACGAGAGCTAAGGRCACAGTTCATACCCTTTAAAGGTAACTAAAGGTCGTTTATCGATAACGTATCACCTGTTTCARAAAGTTTTAACTGTATGTAACATTGTTAGTAAGACAGAGTGGTTGAATAAATGTCTGAGGTGGTGTGTAATTGACTCTGTCTCCCATGATGCATCGCTTTATTTTGTCTAGTAGCTCAGGGAGATTTGATAGCGATAGCGAACAGACGCCCTCCGCTCCGCTCTCCACCCGACAGAGAGGCGAGCCCCTCAGCATCACCAGCATGCCCAGCAAGGTGGAGTGAGCTCAGCCGAGACCAGGACGAGAATTCATCACATTTTAAAAGCTATTCGACCGCTGTGTTATTTATAGCTTTAAGGTAAGCTGCTGGATAACGTTGCAGGTGCTGTTGCGGCGTCTTTAGCCCTCAAGCTAGCCCACATCTACACAGCGTATTTCACTTGTGAAGGCTGGGATTTTAATGTGGGCAGGGTTTAAAACGTGTTTACTGGACTGCAAATGGTTGTCAGCGGCTCGTTTTGTGTGTTTTTAGTTGTCTGTTTCGGTTCGGCCGGAGCTGGTTGACTTTTAGTGGCGTTTAACTCCCCAAATTGTTGTTTCTCCGGTCATAAATAATAACTGGGCAGTGGTTAATTTGTGCGCAGTGCTGCAACACATCAAAATAAGGCGTGAGGTTGATATTCACAACGCCAGAAAGCCTGTGTTGCACCTTATGTGACTGCCGCGTTTCATTTTTTGCGCTGATAATTCTGGTTTTGCGGGGTTAAGAAGAGGAGCTTGTTTGTGTGCGGCTCCTGGGAGTGGACAGCAGYACAACACCCCGGCTGTCTGCAGGGACAGCCTCTGTAGTCACCCCACAGCATGCAGTCAGGGGTTCAGCAATGCTTTATAATCCTTCACATGGATCGCTCATCTGGCTTGAGATTAATCGTGTATTTATTTGACAACGAGGAAGAAGAAGGTGAAGTCCTGTTGATGGTTTACAATAATGAATCTCGGGCGGCTTCTCTCAGCTTGGTTTTAGGGTGCTGTCCGCAATGCAGGTGCTGAAGTTCAACACATCAGGCGTCCTGTTTGCTAAAATCGAGTTTTATATCCTATTAGAACAGCATATTTTATTTGTAATTAATAACCTTTAATTTTAAATGTTTTTATTCCCTGACAATAGTGTTGTTGCTCATGTCTATGTGATCAAAATACCTCATGAACCAGACAGATTTTATTTACATTTTCAGAAAGTAATCACTGGACATACAGCTACAGTTACCTGTTGGAAGCAACCCGAGTCAAGATGGCCGCCTCAGCCACCTGATATTAAAATTAAAAAATGTCAATAAATCAGTCAATTTTACAGATGTTGACTCTGATTTATAACAAATACTCTAAACCAGGGGTGATAAACTCATATCTGCAAGGGCCACTACTATCCTGCATGGTTTTGCTTGTTTTTCTGCTCCAACACACCTGATTCAGTGTTTCAATTACTCAATCGTGGACCACAGTTTGACACCTGTGCTCTAAACGCTAATGAGTCAATTGTCTCTCTGTTTATCAAGATATCTCATGAGCCAAGTGGATTTTATTAAAACTTTTAGTAAATAATCATTTGACTTGCCTCTATACCTGATGAACTTTTAGGTTTAACGTGATTCAAGATGACCACCACAGACGACTGGCTTTAGAGCAGTGGTTCCAAAACTTTTCAGCTTCTGACCCACAAAATACCAGCAGCAGAGCCCTGTCCCCCCAGCTGTTGTTGGTTGATAAACATTGTTTTCACATCAAATCAACAAGAGCATATAACATTATTTATTAGGCTATTTTTGTCCATTTTAAGTACACTAATTGTTTTTGTAACAACAAAAACAAAAAAAAATCATAGTTGTCATTTTTAGTGTAATTAATCCAGAAAATATTTTCAGCACCCCACCTTGATGTTTCAGGACCCCACTGTGGTTCCCGACCCCAACTTTGGGAACCACTGCCTTAGAGAACACAAGATCTGATATAATCCAGTTCAGTTTTACAGATATTAAGCTAAAATGTGATATGGCAGCAGCTGAGAGTGATTTATTGTGCAAAACCATTGCTTAAAAATTTAGCTCAACTCTGTTAAGAAAATGGACAGATTTTATGAAAACTTTCTGAAATTACATCTACAATTACTAAAYATTTGGAGTCAATCCAATTCAAGATGGCCGTCACACAGTTAACTATAACTCAGTGAAATGTAAAAGTTATTGAGCTGAAGTTTGATGTGGTAGTAGCTGAGAGTTGATTTGTTGTTGTGGTTTATTTCTATCRGAGAGTTTCCAAAACACGTCCCACCTGAGATTAGGACATTTTTGTAAAYGTCATTTCAGGAAGTGTCTGCTTAAGACCTTGTTGATGGCAGCTACATGATGCAGCACTTCATTGATTATTTATTTTTAAGAATTACTCACCGTGTTTTAAGAAGGAACAATAATAAGAAACGGTGGACCCTGATATGACAACATTATTGTTAATCTTGAATTTACTGAAGTCCTGAGCTCGTCGTCACTTCCACACTACAGTAGGTTTTTACTGCATGTTGATAGTGAAGTTGAGGTCATGTCTTTGCCAGTGGAAAGCTTTCTGAGCTATTCTAGGCACCGTGCTGGGATGAGAGATATGCTTGCAGAGCAGGGTTTACCGGAAGGACTCCACATTACTCATCAATAATAGATTATCCCCTCAGTCTTTATGACACACGACTGGCTGGATTTGTTCAGACCACTCAGTGTTTTAGGTAATAGTGTGCTTTCAGTGTTCTTCTTTAAGGCATTGG